GATAGTGATCATTTACCCTAGCCGCCAGCACCTCATTCTATTTATAATTAACTTAAATATGGGATATTACAAAGATGCCTCTAGTAGGGCGGCAACTTAACTAAGTACTTACAATTCCTTTAAAAATAAAAGACTAATGGGCCCAAGGCCCAACAACTTCTTAAAATAAAAGAAAACAAACTAAACATAAATCGACCCAACATAAATCAGCCCACTCAACAAAGATCATAGAGTTAAATGGAAAGTGGTGTGCAGAAGCAAGAAATTTGGAGGATTCGGTCTAGGAAACATCCAATAAAGGAATATGGCGCTGTTGGGGAAGTGGTTGTAGAGGTTGCCAAATGAAAGATACAAATTGTGTGCAGAGGTGATTGTTAGCATTCATGGGCTTGCAACTGGAGGCTAGGGCTACAAGAGCATCTCCTCGGAAGTCTATTTTTGATATCCTTCCCTTATTCTTACCATTCATCATATATAATCCTGGTTGTGGTACTCTTGTCAAGTTATGAGGACATGTTTGGGTGGGCAATTTACCACTAAAAGAGCAATTCCTCTCTTTTTGCCATCTCCAACTGTAGGGAAGAGTCTATTTCCTGTTTCATGGTCCCACTAATTCAGAAACTGGTATTGTTTGGGATTTGGGGTTTAAAAGTGGTTTACGTGAGGGTGAACTTGCATTTTGAACCTACTTCAAGGTCTTGAGGGGGTGTGCCTTGATAATTCAAAAACGGGATAGTAGGTTTTGAACCTCCTCTCCCTCTGGTACCTTTACCTGTGCTTTGTTTTTCTCATCCTTGATTCAGCCGAGTGATATTCTTGGGTTATCTTTTCCGGTAAAAGAAATTTGGAGTAATCCTATGCCGTATGGAGTGAGTGGTTTCTATTGGGAAGTGTATCTGGAAAGAATTAATACTTGTGACTTATTGCAGAGAAAAAGATCTAATTGATGCCTTTCCCCACATTGGTGCTCTCTTTGCCAGGTTAATGGTGAGAATTGCTATCACTTACTATTATCTTGCCCTTTTTCTTCTTCAATTGGGATTGGTTTTTCTCTTTGCTTGGGTGCAGGTGGAAACTCCGCCTAAGCTGGGCAAAGAAGAGGGGAAGAATATTGTCGTGATGTACAAGGGCTGCAATTTGCTGGACGATTTGCGAGTAAAGGAACCAAAGAATCTTTTTGGATAAAGATAGAATTAGGGATGTGGTTATTGAAACCATTTCCATTGGATTGATCCACTGGGTGAAGACACTAGACCTTTTTAGACATTTCGGTAGGTGAACTGATATGAGGAAATGGAGGGAGGTAGCTGATTCCTCTCCCACTAAAGAGGTTGTTAGGTGATGAAGGACCAGCTCAGTTCTAGTCCTTAGAGAATGTTGAATGGTCTTCTTGATCAGAGTTTTATGGCTGTCAATTGCTGTAATGGCTTTTTAAAGGAATAAGAGAGAAAATAGAGAGAGAGAAAGGAGAGAAAATACCTGGAATCACATTTTTCAAAAAGAAAAAAAGGAAATACCTGGAATCACTCACAGGGTGCCTAGAATCACTCTAGGGCATGGGAATCACTCACCATAGCTAGCATAAGCTGAAGAAAACTCAATATGATTCATTGCCTTTGTGTAAAACGTCCATACATTTTTATAGACTCTAAATTCATAATAATCATAGGAGTCAAACTGTTAGACTCATAATAGTCTTAGGAATCAAACTGTTAGACTCAATAATCCTAGGACTCAAACTAAACTGTCATGTCCTATTTCAATTCAAAGAAGACACTAACTCTAATCCTACTAATGCAATGACTCTGAGTTTTTAAACATAAACAAACTATAACCAGACAATTTAAACCTTATCATTGGACCCCACTGAAAATTTCAAAAATACCAAAAATACCCCTATTGTCCAAAAATACAGAAATACATAAAATATCATAAAATTCCAATTTTGACTCTTCAGCTCCTGCATCATTAGGCCTTGCTGGTCCCCACCCCTTTTAAAGCCAATTTTGACTCTTTAGTGTGTCGTGTCTTCTAGCAGTGAGTGCACCAAAGCTTGCTTTTATCTTCTGATTTTTTCTGAGTGTCACCCCTTTTAAAGCCACCTCCGACATTTGTATCTGAATTTCCCCAGACCGCTAGGGCAACTGACTCCCCTTCTACACCATTCATCACACTTCTTCTGCTTTCTTCTGACTGCACCAAGGCATACACCTCCT